TTGAACTTCACAACCGTAACAAATTCCATCATCCTCCACATCCTCACTAAGAATCGTAAATTTGTGTCGGCTGAATCCATTGTAAAGAAGATCATCGGTTCTTGTGTTGTAAACCTCCATTCTAAGCTCTTCGATGTTGTTCTTCACTCTTATCGAATGTGTGATTCCACTCCTCGTGTTTTCGATGCTCTTTTCAAAATGTATGCATAGATGAAGCAAGTTCAAGAATGCAACAGATACATTTTTTTTGTATGAAAGAATACGGATTTTTTTCCCACCATTGAATCATGTAACATGTATATGAGTTAACTGGTTAGTTTTAATCGAGCAGGCATCACGTTACCATTTTACAACCAAATGAGAAGATCCAAGATCACAATCAATGTTTTCACTCTCAATATGGTGATGAATGCTTAGGTTGGACGGTATGGGCTTGCGACCCCTTGGCTTGTCGAGATTGGCTAGGTGGTATCTTGGTGAGTAAATGCTGAGTTTGACTATGTTGAGTGGACCAATGGGGTTGCTGGCAAAGGCTACTTTCATATATATATATATATATATATATATATATATATATATAATATATATATATATATATATATATATATATATATATATATATATATATATATATATATATATATATATATATAAAAGGTTATTTGGAAAACAAAAAAACCCTAAAAATCATAAAAATGCATAAAAAAAATACCTAGAGATCACAAAACTTTTTTTTGACATTTTTTAAGAAAAAATCGTAGCTTTTTAAAGAAAATCGCTGAAAAAAATTTGAAAAAAAAAACTTTTTTTTTATTAAAAAAAATTATTTTTTATTTTTTTTCAACGAACTTTTATAAAAAGCTGCGATTTTTTATAAAAAAAATTCAAAAAAAAGTCTTGTGATCTCTAAGTATTTTTTTTATGCATTTTTATGATTTTTAGGGTTTTTTGTTTTCCATAGAACCTAAACCTATATATATATATATATATATATATATATATATATATATATATATATATATATATATATATATATATATATATATATATATATATATATATATATATAACCACCTAAAAGTACTTCAACCCTTAACCATTTTAACTCATCAAAATCGATTTACAACTGATATACATTCTCTCAAAATGTTGTCTTCGTCATCTTCATTGGGCATGTTTGATGACTTGCTTAAAATGACCATGGAGGTCATTCACGAGGCAGAAAATATGATCGATCAATTACAATAAGAAAATACGAAGAATGCATGTCAGATGGAGAGAAGATACATACAAAGATTTCGTGAGGCGGCTAATGAATGACTCGTGCAAGATTTTACTTTGTGGATGACACCACGTTTATAGGATATTATTTTCCTTGTCGGTTTTGTATTAATAAATCTCTGCTTTTTGCGTATTGTCAACAACGTCATGGCAACGTGTCCATTTTTTCAACAACATCGAGATGCCAAAGGTACAATTGGTTTTACTCATATACAAATATGCACCGTTGTACTTCATCAATTAGCGTACTGCACGAATTAGCCTTCAAAATTTTTGCATGTATGTCATGAGATTATATGGTCGACGATATCTGTGCAAACCTACTTGGTAGTGACATCCAACAATTGTATGCTCATTACTCAAATGTGCACGATTTTTCTGGAATGTTAGGAAGCTTAGATTGCCTCCACTGGGCATATGGTTGTTGTCCGAATGCCCATAAAGGGCAATACACCGAGGCGATCATGATTATCCAACATTCCAACTGCTATTCTTGAAGCGGTGGCCTCACAAACTATGTGGATATGACATGCATTATTTGGCTCAGCTGGCTCCTTCAATGACATTAATGTTCTTAACATGTGCAACATCCCAAAGTTCAATGTAAAAAATTTTATTTTTAAATAAGTTATTACATAAAACTATTAGTATAAAAACATTCATAATAATATCTCGTGCTAAACCAAAGTGTCAGTAATCAAAATATATTATCAGAAAACCATATCAGAGTGTAATCCCCAAAAATCTCATGTGCGGAAAACATAGTGTGATGCGCTGCGATCAAGCCGACTCCTTTCCTTTAAACACGAAGTACCTGAAACCAAAACTGAAAACCGTAAGCATGAAGCTTAGTGAGTTCCCCCATCATACCACATACCATACAATCACAAAGCATACATATTGTCAGGCGATTCTGGGGTGCCCGACCTACCCGGTACGACCATTCTGAGGTACCGACCTACCCGTGTCAAACCATTCTAGGGTGCTGACCTACCCGTCGGTCCTAACAACCGACCCTCGGGGACTATTCCACCCTCTACTGCTACTATCACATATATCACATATATCATAACATAAACGTACTATCAAACATATATGGGGTGTCTGAATTACCCTTCGGTCCTAACAAACCGAACTTTGGGACTATTCCCCTCCTACTACCACTATCACATATAACATATCATACCAGCATATAAACATATAATCACATACTGTCAGACAAATCTGGGGTGTCTGACGAACCCTCCGGTCCTAACAACTGAGCTCTACTACTATCACATATAACATATCATGCCAACATATAACATATCAGGTAGTAGCAAACCTAGATGATATCACAAAGACCATCATCTAACATACAACTCCTACTGGTGGGTCGGCATTGTGGCCGTAAACCCACCGATACTGGAATGTAACTCACCTCACACTGCTGAAGTCCCGTAGACACAATCCCACACTTGCTGAAGTCCCGCAGACTCAACCCCAGCTGTTGGGTGATAGATTCCCGAACTGTCAACACCAAAACAACACCTAATTAATAATTGGGTCCCAACGCATAACCATAATACATACTTGGATAATTACTACATTACCCCATGCGTGGCTTATTTAAGCCCAACAAGGCCTAAACCATAGGCCCAAAGCCAATTAGGAATCAAAGCCTAACATATAGCCCAATTTTCCAAATTGGGCTCAAGCCTATACATGGTCTCATTCTAAGGCCGAACATCATATAATCATTAAGGCCCAAACTATGGCCTAATTTTCCAAATTGGGCCCAAACCCTTTTCATGGGCCTTACCCTAGGCCCATTAGATTATTCTAGTCTAATTGCTTGATCTTGTATAACCCATTTAATAACCCAATCATCAAGGCCCAATGATAAACCCAAATGTGATTAGGGTTTCACATAAAATGACAATTAGGGTTAGGTTTCCTACTTAACCCATTAAGGACTTAATCCTCTAAGGACTTAATCCATTAAGTCCAATATCACTTAGATTAATCTTGCCAATGTTTATTATTTAATATTCCAAGTTATTAATAATTTTTGTGTATCCCGATTAATTCCCCAAATTAGGCTTTTATTGGCATAAGGGTTTTCCAAACCCTAATTAGGGTTTCCAACCCCAATACTAGCCCATTTATTAAATTGTTGGGCTTTTAGATCAATTAGGGCTTTATTGAGCCTATTAAGCCCACTAAAATATTATTAAGTCCATTAGGGTTTTATTGGGTCCATTAGAGTCCATTAAGCTTCATTGGGCCCATTAGGGTTTCAAGCACCCCAAACGAATCAACACCACGAGGCAAAGCACACCGCCACCCGACACGACGGCCGGTGGTGGCAGGAGGCGACAACCACCACCCTAAGGTGGTGGAATTTCCTTTCATTATTCCATTTTACAATTTACAAAGAAAAATACTAAAAATAAACGCACACACACTACACTAAGCAAAGTAAACACATACAACCACCTAATGGTGGCCGGCGGTGGTAAGTGGTGGCAGCCACCACCTCACGGTGGTGGTGTTGGCCTTCCTCGATTTTCCGATCAAACACAACCATACACAACACACACACATGCTTCTGATTGCGAGATGTACCGCAACCACCCACCTGGTGGCTCACGGCGGTGACATCAACAATTTTGGGATGGCAGCCACCACCTCACGGTGGTGGCGGTGATTCCTTTTTGGTTTTCAGTCAAACATCAACACACCCCTACATGACTTTGCTCGGAATCTGGACGCCAACGAGGCTTAGACGCAACGCCGACGAAGAGATGCCGTGCATAACAGGAAGGCAGTGACAACATCTCTGACCTCCGGCTGGTACAGATGCCTTTGACCGTTCTTGGTGCGTTTCCTTGGTTACACACACCGTCTGATAGCAGCGATGGGGGAGCAAATAGTGGCCTAGAAGTGGCGTTTGAGAGAGCTCCGTAGGATGGTGATAGTCGAACGAACTAGGGTTGGGCTGGCTCTACGGGGAAAGACAATAAGTGTTGGTTCTACGAGGATAGTCAAGTAATGTCGGCTCAATGAGGATAGCCGGTTAGGACTGACTCTACGAGGAAAGTCATTTAATGTTGACTCTATGATGAAATCAGTTGAATAATTATTCTAGACAACCAATTCGACTCATGGTTCACCTAAATATAGGTGAATTGGTGTGATGTTGGCTCACTCTATGAGGAAAGCCTGCGTGAGAGTCGGGAGGCGTAGCTTAATGAAATTGACACCGTTTATACCGATCCTTAACGATAATGTGGAATCCTTGTATTACACAATGTCGGAGGAGCGAACGTTGTGACACGAAACACCATGTCTTGGGTGAGAGTCAGCCCCTGAACTCATGCATCAGTCTAATGTGTCATTTTGGTCTCTTTAATTGCTACATACAATATACAACTTACAAGGAAGAAAAAATGAAAAAAAAAGGAATAAAATATCTTTTCGTAATTCAGGCAAAAACAGGAATAGGTTTAGCAAGGGTTTAAGGCGGCCACTCTTCATCACTTTGCCTCCTACACAAATCCTCAAATTTTGTCAGATTCTTTCATCGCCACTCATAGATTCACCCGTTCGCATCCATCTTACCAACGAGTTCTTAAAATCCTTGTATTAGTTCGATCTATCTCTCTGCAAATTGCATCAACCGTGTACATAGTTAGAAACCCATTAATTTTTCTGCAAATAAATCACTCCACTCTAGCATGTGGAGAAGCGTATGTAACCGAGCTTCTGTCAAGAAGCTGAAATCATTCGCCGATAAATCTAATTTTAGAGATACCCACTTGTTTGAAAAACCTAGACAGTTAGAGCTTCACCCTTATCGACATCCTTCGTATGGAGAGCGGGGTTTCCGGCGAATCAACGTCTTGGGTGATTCCGGTTTCACAAATTTAGGGGTTTCTTTCGGTTTATTACATCGGTCTTATAAGGGCTATGCCAGTTCCGCCGCAGCGGAGGAGATTGTTTCGACAGAAGAAGAAGACAGCGATGAAATTCGTGAAATGGTACACCATTTGAATAAAGAAATCAAAGCGGTTGAAACGAAATCTAATAGCTCCGATCACAAAAAGCAGCCGAGATTAGTCAACGGAATTGGGCAAGGGAAGTACATTGCACTCAGGAGACGCCAGATAAAGATAGAGACAGAAGCATGGGAGAACGCAGCAAAAGAGTATCAGGAACTTTTAGTCGACATGTGTGAACAGAAACTCGCTCCCAATCTGCCTTACGTGAAATCCTTATTTCTTGGTTGGTTTGAGCCATTGAAGAACGCCATTGCTTCAGAGCAGGATTTATGTAGGGAAGGTAGGAATCGAGGAGCTTATGCTCCACAATTCGACCAGTTACCTGCTGATATGATGACGATAATTACAATGCACAAGCTAATGGGTCTGTTGATGACTGGCGGAGGTCAGGGTGGCGCTAGGGTGGTCCAGGCAGCTCTACATATCGGTGAAGCTGTTGAACACGAGGTTAGTTGCATCAAAAATTTCATTTTTTTCCTTCCCTTTTTACAACATCCAAGCATTCAAGTGTTCCTTCTTTCTGATATAAAAATCAGGCGAGAATACACAGATTCATGGAGAAATCCAAACGAAAGGCTTCATTAAATGAGAGCCCTGATGATGATTCAGAAGCTGTAAACAACGAGCAACAATTACAGAAATTGAGGAAGAAAGTAACCAATTTAGTTAAAAAGAAAAAGCTTCAGCAAGTAAGGCACATAGTGAAACAACAAGACCAGTTGAAGCCATGGGGTCAGGATGCTCAAGTTAAGGTTTGTAAATGAACCCTGATGGCAAAATGGTAATTATGATAATCTTCAACAGTGAATGTTGCTTTTTTCAGGTTGGTTCTCGTTTAATCCAGTTGTTAATGGAGACTGCTTATATACAACCTCCTGTTGACCAATGTGAAGACTGTCCTCCTGATATTAGGCCTGCATTTGTACACACTCTTAAAACTGTGGAAACACCGTAAGTATGGCCTCATTTATGATTTTTTACTTTTTAGTTTTTACTATTTGACCTTTTTTTTATGTATTGATGATGCATTGCTGATTGTTAATCCTATATATATAGGAGAGGAAGCAGAAGATATGGAGTTATTGAATGTGATCCTCTTGTTCGAAAAGGACTCGAGAAAAGTGTAAGTTTTTTGTGCATATATATTCATATCTTTGATGTTTATGTATATATTGTTTTCTAATATGAAAGATTGTTCTAATTTGGATCTTTAAATCAGGCTATGCACATGGTGATTCCATATATGCCAATGCTTCTTCCTCCAGTGAATTGGACTGGGTATGCATTTAGGGATTTTTGTTTTTTGTTATTTTTGATCCTTAGACTTTGATATTTATGTTTGATTTAGTGTTGTTTAGTTTAGCAATAGAATAACCTTGAAGATTAGGTTAGTTTTTGTTCAGTATCTTTAAAATTAAGGATACAAGAATTGTAATCAAGTTGGTCATCATTATAAAAGAGTAACATTTATGTTTTTCCATTTTTGCCCTTTATTTGACAGATACAACAGAGGAGCCTACTTGTTTCTACCATCCTATATAATGCGCACACATGGAGCTAAACAACAACGTGATGTTGTTAAAAAAACACCAAAGAAGCAATTGGAACCTGTTTTTGGGGTGTGTAATAAGTAATAACTAATAAAGTTTCCTTTTTCCTCTCTACATCCGTTTTCTGATTCTCATTTTTTATAAACATTTCAGGCACTTAATACACTTGGTGCCACAAAATGGAGGGTAAATAGGAAAGTTCTTGGTGTTATAGATAGAATTTGGGCTAGTGGAGGACGTCTAGCTGACTTAGTTGATCGTGATGATGTAAGTTTTTTTTTTAAGTATTAAGTATCAAGAACTTTCTTTTTGTTAAAGATACTAAAAAATCGATAAATTTTATGTTTTGTTATATTTTATAGTTGTTATCTTTCATAGGTTCCTCTACCCGAAGAGCCAGACACAGATGATGAAATTGAAATTAAAAAATGGAAATGGAAAGTTAAAACCACTAAAAAAGAAAACCGAGAAAGGCATTCACAGAGGTGTGATATTGAATTGAAATTAGCCGTAAGTGTTTTCTTTTTTATGTATTTTTATTGTATAAAATTGTTAGATCACATATCCGATTATATTCTAATATTTGTAATGCAAGAGTAGGTTGCTAGAAAAATGAAGGATGAGGAAGCTTTTTACTACCCCCACAATCTTGATTTTCGTGGTCGTGCATATCCTATGCACCCTTATTTAAATCATTTGGGCTCTGATTTATGTCGAGGTGTTCTTGAGTTTGCTGATGGTCGACCTCTTGGAGAATCTGGTAATGATGACAAATCTCTACTTGTTAACTGACCAAAGTTATATATATATATATATATATATATATATATATATATATATATATATATATAGGTAAAAATTATGCACTAACAAGTAGACATTTGTCATCATCATCAGGCTTACGATGGTTGAAGATACATCTAGCGAATGTATATGGTGGTGGTGTGGATAAGTTGTCCCACGAGGGTCGAATGATGTTTGCAGAGAAACATTTGGATGAAATATTTGATTCTTCAGATCGACCTCTTGAAGGAAAGAGATGGTGGTTGGGTGCAGAAGACCCTTTTCAATGCCTGGCTACATGCATGAATCTTTCCGAAGCTCTAAGAAGTTCTTCCCCTGAAACCGCCATTTCCCACATACCTATCCACCAGGTGTGTCATTGTGTCTACTACTTTAAGCAACTTGCCACATTTTCTTTACTCTTTCACAAAGTGACACTAAAAATCATCTATCTTATCAAATTCTGTCATGTCATGTCATGTCATATCATATCTGTACGTATGGGTTACAACTTATTTTGCTATATCATGTCATGTCATGTCTTGTCAGTCTGTGAGTACCTTAGTGGGAGGGATATAATCATACAACCAATTCTGTCATGTCGTGTCATGTCTGTTTGGGACTTAACTTACCAAAATAGTGTCATATTGATTAGTTATAATGTTAAAACATATAATGCATCTAGAATTTATTTACATTTATCTTTTGTTTGAATTTTTTTTAGGATGGTTCGTGTAATGGTTTACAACATTATGCTGCACTTGGAAGAGACAGGGTAAAGATGTTAATAGTTTAAGATCTTTAATCGTTATTTTTTAATTTAATATTTCTTACACATGGAATTTTTTTTGAACATATATTTAGTTGGGAGCAGCTGCTGTTAATCTTGTTGAAGGAGAAAAGCCAGCTGATGTCTACTCTGGGATTGCTTCCAGGTTATAATACTACCTCTTTTTATTAATCAACAAAAATTCGTATAAAAAATAAAATAATGAATTAAAATAAATGTAATTTGATGTGATGTGAGCAGAGTGATTGAGATTATGAAGAGAGATGCACAAGGAGACCCCACTACCGATCCAAATGCCAAACATGCACGTATGTTAGTTGACCAGGTATATAAATTTCTTTAAGCATTTGATTTTTTTTTTTTTTTTTATAAATAATATTCCAATTCCCAATTCCCAAATAATAAACAATATTGATGGATGAATGATGACATGGACACTTGGACAGGTGGACAGAAAGTTAGTTAAGCAAACAGTGATGACATCAGTGTATGGTGTGACATATATTGGTGCTCGTGATCAAATTAAAAGAAGATTAAAGGAACGTTGTTCCATTGAAGATGATGCTGAGTTGTTTGCTGCTGCTTGTTATGCTGCAAAAGTAACAATATATATCAATCAATCTATTTTTTCTAATACCATTTTGCTAAATTTAATATGAGTAAATATTTGATGCAAATTCTGTATTTCTTTTTTGTTGTAGACAACTTTAACTGCTTTGGGGGAAATGTTTGAATCTGCAAGAAGTATTATGAGTTGGCTTGGTGATTGTGCAAAGGTATAAATTTTTATATTTTTGTAAGATAAGATTTATACGTTTATTGATTTTTATAAAATTTGACAGGTTATAGCAGTGAAAAACAATCCAGTACAATGGACAACTCCTCTTGGACTTCCTGTTGTTCAACCATACCGCAAGTTAGGAAGGCATCTTGTGAGTTCTTTTAGTATGTCAAATTGTCGAATCAAGTCCCTGTATTTTGGCTTTTTTGCTAATATGACCCAAAACTTTTTGTTGTTTTTTGAATTGTGTAGATTAAGACATCTCTTCAAGTTTTGACACTACAACGAGAAACCGATAAGGTTATATCTTTTAACCTTTTCTTTATTATGCTAAATGCAAGAAATAACCTTTTTATTTTTTATTATTATTTTTTATTATCACAGGTGATGGTGAAAAGACAAAGAACAGCCTTTCCTCCTAACTTTGTCCACTCTCTTGATGGGTCCCACATGATGATGACAGCCATTGCTTGTAAAGAGGCTGGCTTAAGTTTTTGCAGGTTCAAAATCATTAATATTACATACTATATAATTTTTTTTTTCCATTAAAAATATATAAATTAAAATCCAATTTCAGGAGTGCATGATTCGTTTTGGACACATGCTTGTGATGTTGATCAGATGAACAAGATTCTTAGAGAAAAATTCGTTGAACTTTACGAGGCACCAATCCTAGAAAATGTAAGTTTTTATTTTTGAATAAAAGATTCATTTGGATAAAAAAAGTTTCCATTTTGATCAAAAGGGCATTGTGACAGCTGTTGGAGAGTTTTCAGAAGTCGTTTCCAAATATGGAATTTCCTCCATTGCCAGAAAGAGGAGATTTTGACCTAAAAGAGGTTTTGAAGTCTCCATATTTCTTCAATTAAGAAGACTAACAAACAAAACAAAACAAAAACAAATCACATTCTTTATGGCTCTTTCTCTACAAATTTGTTGGTTTAATCGGCTTTTGGAGTGGCAACAAGAAGAGCACAATGTTCATCTTTTTTTATAAGCCTTTTGGAGCTCTATTACAAATGCATCCATCCATACATACACACATCTGTAAATTTGATGACATCATGTGGGATTTATGGAATGAAGCAATGAATCACTTGAGGATTGAAGAAGAAGGCTTGAAATACAAGTGAAGATGAAAGGGTAAATGAGTAAATGATGGGTGCATTCAGGCCTTATTTTGTAAAACTAATTCATACACAATATTTATTTGTTAGGAGTTCATTAATTAAGTGGTATGTGGGAATAAGGAGATAGGAGAGTATAGTGTTTGGAAGGTGAATCCTTCTTTCAAAGCAATTGTTCTAACTTGTTATATTTATTGACTTTTAGGTTGTATTTTGCTCTGGGAAGAGTTGACTTTTTTCCTAATTATAGAAAGAATGCCTTTTGGGCATTTCTAATATATTCCAACTTTCATCAAGTAAAATGTGGCAAGACTTATGAGATAACATTGTGATTTATGAGACATTGCTGTCTTATTTGTAACATCATATATTAGACTACATATGACTAAGAAGTTGATTTTTAGTTGATCTTTGGAGCATCGACCTAATAAAAAAAAGATATAATAGGATATTCTAAACAATCATGCCATGATTTTCCATGAAAATGATGCGAGTATAAGGTAAAACTTTTTTGCTAACTTGAGGTGATCATTTTGATCTTTGATTATGTTATAGTTTAAGTAGACAAAGTTTGGCTTGTGTTGCTTCTTATATTTTATGAAGTTCATTTTGTAAAATAAGGTGGAAGATGCATTTTATGGAAGGCTTATGTAGTTGGAATAAATTTAACTTATGGTTTATGTCAATGATGTTACTAGTTTCTATAACATCATGAATGATGTTACTAGTTTCTATAAGAGCATTAGGTATGGATCTGTTGAGTTGATGTTATAACAATTTATAACACCAAAGGGGAAATGATGTTTATGGTGTTATGACTATGTTAAGAGAAGAAAAATAAAGACAGAAGAAATGTGCAGCCAATCAATATTTTCGTTTCAATATGTCATAACACCAACAAGATATGCCATAACACCAAGGGGGAAATGATGTTTATGATGTTATGACTATGTTATGAGATACTACATCAACAAAAACACCACTTCTCATTGCCCATACCATATACTCTAATAGATGAATTCTCCACCCAAATATCCTCCCAAAAGGAAATCATGGAACATCCCCACTTTGTTTTTTTTGCAAAAAGACAACAACTTAATTCCCCAACCGACATCACCTATACCCAAACGACCGCCACCATCTTCCACATCATACTCGCCAAACCAAACACCCATTCGCCTCCAACCATCATCAACCACAACAACCCAACAAACAATACGTTCAGTCAAGTCCCAAAAGCTATGCAGAAGCGTTGATAGGAGATAAACCGCCAAAATCAAACTCAAGTCCAAAACAGATCAGGATGACATCTTATGAGGAAACAAGAGAGTTCATGAAACGTGCCTTAGTTGGGGAAGTGGAAAATTTCCAAGCATTAATGAATGTGAGAGCCTTTACTGAAGTAGAAGAATGCCCTACAATAGTGATGAGATACTTGGGAGGAATGAAGACCCTAGTGGAATTCGAAAGTGAAGCCGACAAAACCAAATTCCTAATGGAAGGAGGGCATATATGGAAACCCTGGTTCAAGACGATGTACAACTGGAACCCAAAAGAAAATTTTAACGAAAGATTATCATCAATAATGATTTTCGGAATACCACAACATGCTTGGTGTGAAGAAGCGATGCAAAGACTTGGGGCAACGTAATAATACCGGAAGAATGTGCAACCGATAATCCTAACATGGCGTTTGGAAGAGTGGGGATACTACCCTCGCACCCAGGGTTAATCAATCAGACAATCACTATACTCCTGGATAACCCCCCATGTACAATTACAGTTTTGGAAGATCTCCTCGAGTCCACGAGGTTAAGCCCTGTGGTCGCTAGCAATGACTTTACCCTCAGTCCTAAATGGACAGAGAAATCGAACTGGGAAGACCACTATGAATCGAACGGTGAAAACTATGAAGAAGGAGACAATAACAGCTATGAAGATGAAGACTTTGTCTGCACTCCAGACCATGGCGATAATAGCAGAACCCGTTCAAAATCGCCGGAGAAATCAGTCCGGGCGGCAAGACTAAGAGCTCCGGTGTGCAATAATTACACTCACAATTTCCAAGATGGAGACCCTCGACATCCGAGAAGTACCACAGAGGCTAGGGCTAAATCCGAAGAGTCCCTTGGGCACACAAGCAACATCATGCACTATAACGTAAACCTTGCAAACTCCCCTCAATTACAAACAGTTCAAAACACGGGTGTCCGTCATACCACCCAATTCTTGGAAGAAGTAGCCCAAACCCAGTTACCCCACAACCCAAGTCAAGAAGGACCTACATACTCAATTAGCCCAAATCAAAAAATCCCACTGAATAATAATCAAAACAATATCCATATCGACTTAAATTCACTTCCTGTATCTTCCACCAATGTAAACCCCCAATTATCCCCAAACCACCAAAATTCACAAACAGTCAGCAGAACAGGAACTCAAAATCTATCTCGAATACGGATAAAGAAGTATCACAAACAGTTGCAATTGGTGAAAAGATTGGATTTAGTGTTCAAGGATATGAAGATCAAATCAGGAAAATTATCAGGAAAAGGCGAGTCACAATCATTGATCAATGAATATCTTATCATTGAACTGTAGAGGTGTTGGGTGTGAAGTTAAACGTGATTGGATCAAGAATCTTAAGGGGGTAATCAAGTTTTTCTCTTAGGATTACATGAAACAAAAATAGAGGAGTTCAAAGGCTGTCTAGACAGATCGATCTGGGGGAACTCCAAATTCCATTGTGAAGTTTCTGATCCCATTAGTCTTTCTGGGGGAATCACAACAGTTTGGAAACCAAATCTCTTAAGCTTATTTGAGGCAATCTCAGGTCACGGCTATCTTCTAACCAAAGGGGTATGGATCCCATCAAAATCAATGTATGGTTTCATAAATGTTTACACCCTAAACGATCCAGGCCGTAGAAAACTCTTATGGATTGAGTTAGAATCTATCATGAGCTTGGATAGTAACTCCCAGTGGTTAAACACTTTTCCACCAAGTTTAAGGAAACATAACCTTCCAGACCGATTTTCACAAGTCATAAATTCAAAAAACTACTTGTTGAGTTTAGATTGGAACTTGAAGCTCCCATAACTTTGGCATAAGTCAAATCTGCAGTGTGGTTGTGTGGATCTGATAAATCCCTAGGCCCAGACGGATTCACATTCGCATTTATAAAGAAGTATTGGGAAAAAATTGGAGGAGATATTTATATGGTAGTAAAACACTTTGAAAGATCAGGGATTATCGACAGAGGCTGCAACTCGTCATTCATCACCCTAATTCCAAAAACAAATGACCCTAACACCTTTGATGATTATCTCCCAATAAGTCTTATAGGGAGCCTCTACAAAATCATCTCTAAAGTTCTTTCAGAAAGACTAAAGAAGGTTATCTCACCAGTCATCAGTTACACTCAATTAGCCTTCATTAAAGACCGCAACATCCTGGACGGGCCTCTAATAGTCAATGAAGTCATATCTTGGCTCAGGAAAAGCAAATCCAAGGCCTTCCTATTCAAAGTGGATTTTGAAAAGGCATTTGACTGCCTTAATTGGGGGTATTTAGAATCGGTGATGGAACAGATGGAATTCGGGGAAAAATGGAGAAGTTGGATTAGGGGATGCTTATCATCAACTAGAGCCTCAGTAATAGTAAACGGGTCAGCTACTAAAGAATTTGATCTTGAAAGGGGAATATGTCAAGGGGATCCACTATCCCCTTTCCTTTTTATCCTGGCTGCTGAGGGCCTAAATGTTGCTATGGAAGAAGCCGTGGAAAAACAGATCTTCAATGCTCCCTCAAAAGCAAAGAAAAAAAGGCTTCTGTTGGGGCACCATTGTAAATTTGCACTCTACTTTATCAAAACATGATTTAGATTTTCAAAACCTCTTTATTAATCTCAACTCAAACCAAACTAATGGGCGGTTCTGGAAGTTAGAGGCTTCGGGTGTATGCACAGTAGCCTCACTGAGAAGTCACATCGATAACAAGCTCCTCCCAAAAACAAACAATTGTTGGATTTGGAACTACCTTGTGCCTCGGAAAGTAAACATCTTAGCGTGGAGAATCTGTCACGGCAGATTACCTACAAAAGAAAACCTACACAAATTAGGAATTGGCTCCAACACGCTGTGCACCCTCTGCAACCAGCATGCAGAATATGAGACCCACTTATTCACCGCTTGTTCAGTGGCATTAAAAGTTTGGGGAGATATTAGATTATGGTGGTATTTACTTCCATCGAGCTTCCAGTTGGTTTCAGGTCTACTTCAGTGTAGGAATAACCTTCCACCTAAAAAAGATCTAGGAGTGTTCCACGAAGCTGTATCCTTGGTCTTTATCTGGGTCATTTGGAAATATAGGAACAAGCTGGCTCATTCAGACAAACACATCTCACCTTCTGGTCTTGCAGATGAAATCCAGACCCTATCATATTTATGGATAAATGCTAGACATAAATCTAAAAAGCTTAGATGGTTAGAATGGTGCTGCAATCCAATCCTTGAGGCTGATGTGCTGTAATGTTTATGGTGGAGGGCATTTTGTGTCAATATTAATTGGTGTCTTGGAGTAATGCCAAGTGCAGTTAAGCGTGTGTTTTTCTTTCCTTGGGTAGCCATCTCTTTAGGAACATAACTGTGCTTGGCATTTTTTTCGTGTTTTCTTTCATGTGTTTGGTGTTATAAATTTGGGTGGGGGGTGAATTTTATGTTGGCGTGTGTCTTTCTCTCTCTTTCGATCTGTTTCTTTTCGCAGGGCCTCACATCTGGATACTTCTTGGTTTATGCTGCATAAATCCCATTAATATCCGAATATGCCCACTTGGAGAATCTTCTTGAAGACGACCTCAAATATGTCAGCCAAAGATTGGATGCATCTCATTTTCCCAGAGGAGTACGAAGTAGCTTAGAGCTTACTGCTGATTGGGGTCCCCTTCATGGCGGCTCTAGACCTATGGACTGAAGCACTGATATTTTGCCCGTTACGCCCTGTTGGTGCTGCCTCATTCAAAGGTTGAAGATACCTCAGACGTAGTAGTTCCCATTTGGGGAATTCCAGTTAGTCATGAGTTTTGGTTCACAACACAAATCTCTAGTTCATCATTAGTTTATCTAGTTTAGTTCATTTCAAATTTCCATTCTAATTCAATGTTGTATATGTACTGTTTTTGTCCAGCTTCCTGCTGGCTTTCTTAATGCATTTTTTCCTCTTTGCCGTTAAAAAAAAAAAAAAGTAAAGAAACTCCAAAAAGCCAATAAAAAGTACACATATTTCAGGACATATATGTTGATGTATGTGGGACAGTTAATGAGAGATTTACTCGTTTTGTTAATGTAACGGGATAAGAACGTTTAATATTTCAGATTTCTCATTGTATCTCTATTGGTTGTACGTTTAGAAAGATAAGGGGTCAAAGTTATGATTGACCAACAATATTTATGAGTTAAATGGTTTGAAAACATATGATGATATAGACAATGAAGTAACATGGTTCACTCAATTGCATTTAATTGAGTTATGTCCTGTGAAGAATTAGACATATTTTATTGATAATAGCCGTAACAAAATTAAAATTTTCATTTGCATTTGGTCACCATTTCACATAAATAACTAAATATTTGGCTTTTTTTTTTAATTAGTCGAAATTAGGTTATATTTAATGAAAAGTTAAATGAGACTTGAATGAATGATGTGGCATTGAATGCATTCTATCTATTATTTTCTAATTTGTTTTACATTTAATAATTTAGTTTAATTGTATGTAATAACGAGTTTATAAAATTATTAACTTTAGTTTTGTAAGTAAATAACTCTTGTTTATTATTATTTTTTAATAATCTTAAAGAATAAAAAAGCTTACTTAAATGTTTTTGAAATAATAACACATTATTACATTACAACAAAATGTTCATAAATAAATGAGTTTCCACGTGTCCACTGCGACTCCATGATTTTGCAAGGATTAGGAGGGCTCGACCTTTGGACATTATATTAAGACACCGATTACGTCGCATACCCTCTAATGACCAATTCCTAGTTGAAACCCCCAAGACTATTTGAACACTGGACTTCACATATGAGAGACTAATGTCTTACATGATAGGCCACTAGATAGTTGGTTAAATCATGTCGAATAACATGATGTACTGCAATATACGTTGTTTTCGTATATTATTCATAATTTTTAATTAGCAATCTTTAATTTTTAATTTTGCAGTGATTTTATTTTCTAGTTTTATGTATCACCATTGTTTATAAAATGATAAATATAATAAAAAATAGTATAGTAAGTGAAATTCAGTGTGACAATCATTTAAATTTTAATAGAGTTTAATAAAATATAAAATTTAATGGGTAAAATAATATAATAAACAAAATGTGGATATGATAATAATTGAATGTTAATAATTCAATGTATTGAAATGACCTTATTTTTCATATTCAATGAATATTTAATAATTCATCCCAATCCCAATTTCATTATTAATAGAAGCCACACTACAATTAAATGATTATTCATTGCAAACTCATTTTTATTTAATAAACTTATTATGGGTATGATAATCTTAACATATATTTATTAATTACTAACCGTGAACTGGTTATTAATTACTAACCGTGAACTGGTTGATTGGACCAACTGGACTAGCCCGCTTCGTAAAGGTTTTTACCTCTTAGATTGGATATCCCGAGTTTTAATCTGAAATATGTTTTCGATACATTTAACCATCTACGAACACCTACAAAAAAAATAATTACTAGCAAAGAAATTAACAAATATTCATGGCACAAGCCTATGAATGTAATGATATGATATTACAACTTATTTTACATATTTGGAGTTCAAATGAGTTCTCTTACACTTAACAAAAACACCTTCAAATACAACAATCATTTATACAAAGCTTCGCTCGATCCGTTTTGCGACCCAAACCCGACTTGGTTACGTAAAATCACGCACGGGTAGACGGGGTTTTCTTGAACAAAGCATAAGCATCACTATATATGGCCACCACATTCGCAAAAACAGCTATACAAATCATCAAAACAGCTAAAATCTTATCTCCTTTCGTTGCTATTCCATAAACATCCCTACATACAAAATCACCCATCAATTCAACAAATGTTCATAACTTCACGCACAAAAAGGGATGATTCATGATATCATGATATCATGATAGCTCATACCTTATAGCAATTGATGCAGGAAAGATGAACCCAATGCAAACAGCAGCAGTTGCTCCTGTAAACTGGAACGCATCCCATGCACTTGGTATAAAATTTGCACCCAAATATATAACCGAAAGAAGACCTACACTAACAATAGCAAATCGCTTGTTGTCCAATTCCAAAGGCACTTCAGATGATCCAAAAAAAAGCCCATCTGTATTAAGTCGTAATGCATAAAACACAAGTGGGAAAACAAGCATGAGGTGTAAAGCATAGCTCACACGAACAATATCATTAAGCTCGATACTAAAAGGAACTCCCAAATCAGAGTCAAAATTTTGCAATATATCTCCCATTGTCGCGTCCCCAAAGAGAATAAACCCAAAGAAACTAGTCATTATGTACACAATCGTACATAACACCAATGAAATCTGTACAATTGGTTCGATAAGAGAAGGGTTTTCAAGCTCATTTCCAATCGAATGCACTGCCCATGAACAAAAAAAGATTCAATTATTCATTCGTGAATAAAGTTAAATAAATTTATACGATTTTTTCGCATGTCGCACCATTAAAATGGCAGATATAAGCAGTAACAAGAACAGGAACTGCAGTGAAGAGGTTCCAAACCGAGTTAATATCGGTGATTTCTGGAAGTAATCTTGGCATTTGGAGGGTCCCACTTGCCATTTTAAAGATAGCGATTCCTGCAGTGATGATTAAGAAAACCACCGCTAGTGCAACTGCTAAACCTGATGTAACACTAAGTGAATCTGCATATATATAAAATGTTGTTCGTAAGATTAAACATTAAAATGGATTTGGGATTATGGAAATGATATATAAATTATAACATACCCATACGCTTGAGAGATGCTAATGGAACAAAAACGCAAAGAGTTGTGAGTAAAAGAACAAGAATTCTTCCAGTCCACCAGTGTGGTCCGAACCACCCTTCCAATAAACCAGGGTGGTGCACCCCGTTTAACGATGATCCAGCCACCACATCACCTTTTCATAGCATAAACAGTTAAACACACGAAATCGTTAAAAAAAAATCCAATTTTTATGCGTTTCTTGATGATGAATTATGGTTCTTGAATGCTTAGTTACCGATGATAATCATGTAGATAACAAGAACACCGATGTTATTAATCACCACACAAGCTTGAAGCATCTTCTTCCCGACTTCCCCAAACGCATCACCCATTAATCCGCCATACGAATCTGTGCCACCGGGTCGACTGTACTTTAGCAAGATTCTGACGGTGGCTTCCGACAAGACCGCAACAAGAATTATGACAACGATACCGAGGCCGAGGCCCAAGACCTTCATGGTGGCCGGAAGTGCCATTATTCCGGCGCCAATGATGGTGGTGGAAAGGTTCATGACAGCCCCCGACATGGATGCGCCATTAAACTCATTGTGAGCGCCTTTTCTCTTGGGAATCAGTGGGGATTTCTCGTTTACTGAAACTGTAACGCTGTCTTTCTTCTTGCTGTGTTTTCTTGAGGGGTGTTTGTGTTTCTTGATTTGATGGGTTTCTGCTTGGATTGTCATGGTGTTTTGGGGGAATTTGCGGCGGAAATTGAGGGGTTTTGGGGTTTGGAGTTTTGGTAGTGAAAAACAGAGAATTGGAGTGCGTGTCTGAATTGAATGGAATCTAAAGATAAAGAAATAATTGAAGTGTGTTGGAGAAAATGCGTATAATAAGGTTGATTGCGCATCGTCAGCGTTCTTATCGAATTGTGGGCTGAAAGTGAACCTAAAAGATGTTCTTCCGAAGCCGTGAATGGTCAGCAATATCCGGTCCCTTTCGTGGAAAAATCCTGTTTGAAGGAAATGATGATGTAATAAAATAAAAATAGATATATAAATGATTAAATGGGTAAATTATGCTTAATAACAATAGGTTTTAGTAAATTTTTATTTTAGTAAAACATAATTTTAAAGTAGTAATTGGATATGTATGCTAGTATTTAGGTTATTAATAATTAATTTTCGTCTTTGACAGTTTTATTTCTTAAAATCGACGAATGCGGATGCCATGTCTAATGGTGATTTGATATTGAATATGATTGAAGTCAATGTTGAATTTGATTTTTCAATTTTTTTTTTCGCATCTAAATTCGATGAACCCATCATTTATAGAAGGCTTTCAAATACTAGCAATGCATTTTGGTGAGATTAAATATGGGGTTTGTAGGTTTCTAGGAAGACACCGAACAGTATGGAATATATAAAAACATTTCAAGATTATGGGAAAATTCCAAAAGGCTGTAAATCCTCTTTTATTCCAAAAAAAATGCCTAATAACAATTGTTTATTTGTTTATATTTTTTATTTTGGGATATATCTAGAAATC